GCTTTCCCCGCCGCCGCGGCCGATCCATCTCGGGGAAAGGAAGTGGCCCCCTTCCCGATCCAACTTCATCCCCGGCCACCAGCCGCCACACCGACATCTCCCCCCGGCGCGCAATCCGCAGGCATGGCTTGGTCAGATGCCAAGGCGGCCCACTCGCCTTGCAACGCGGAGACAAGCCCGCGTCCCTTCTTTTGTCATTCTTATTTTTTGGCTTAATTTCTTCCTCCTTTTTTTTTCCCTGTTGCAGTCAAATAAACTTTCCCAGAGAGGCGTGGTTTCTTGAAATGAGGGGGTGGTCTCTGAAGGAAAGTCTGGGAACATGGCTTGGGGAATTTTACCAGGAGAGAAAAAGAGAAGAGGGAGAGGAAATGCGGTAATGATGAGTATGTATGAGCCCCCTGTATGCCCTTTATTTTGTAATGTATTTGTACACTAATTTTTTTGGGATCAGCTTTGGATAGATAGATAGATCTTACTTTTCTTCCCTCTGGGCTTTTCAGGAAGACAGGGTAAGAATTTAAATATTGTAAGGTCTTTTGCTTGTTTTTAAGGGTGGATTTCCCCTAAACATAAAAATAATCAAAAGGCACAGCTGTTTTAGGTTCCTCTCTTCTGATGATTTCAGTGCTAGGAGAGGCAGAGGAGAAAGCAGGGACTTTTCACATTCTGAAATACTGCTGAAATTTTTCTGCCAAATTTTCAAGTGCAGGAAAGAATCAAGGGACAAAACATTGACAGTTTCATGATTTCCCCCCTCCCCACATTTTTAATCTACAATGAACTCTGCCTGTGTCTTTTTAAAAGGATTTGTATACATACATAGCTTGAAAGAAAATCAACTAGTCTTTACTATATATTTGTAAACAATCCCCCCTCCCCACATCCGGCCTGTGCTACTGGATAGTATCATAATGCAAATGACAATAACAATAGCACAATATTAGATTGTAAGTTCTTTGGGGCGAGGACTATCTTTTTGTTCTGTTTGTACAGCCCCTGGCACTGTGGGGTCCTGGCTGGTTAATGGTTCCTACAAGACAAATGAATAATAATCTGTCTGGCTGAGACACACACAAATCATGGCCAAAATTTTGAAAAACGGTGTCTGAAGGTGGGCTCCTAAATTCACAGGTAGGCATCTAACAAGGAGGCCTTCCACAGCACTTGTTGCCTGCAATACTCAGGATTTGGTCTAGGCTCGTTATTCCTTTTTTGGTTGGTTAGTACACAAGTTCCTTCTGGGCTTGGTTTTCCGCTTGCTGTTCACAGGACATTGGTAGCTGAATGCTGAAATGCTGTGAGCTGAGGCTTGGCAGGGGTAGAATCAATGAGCTGGCGGAGACAGAGGAAGGCTCACCCAGGTGGGGAGGGATATGAAGGAAGAGGGGCCTGCCCTGCATACATGACAAAAGGACCCAGAGGGGGCCACCAGGGTAGATGACTATAAGTGGGACAGGGATGACGAAGGAGAAGCCCCTGCTTCCATCCCCTGCTACAGCCTCCTCATTCTGCTGCCATAAAAGGACCATTCTTGTTACTGGAATTCACCATCACTGGCGACTCCTTTATATAAGGGGGGGGGGAGGAACGGGAGGAACACTGGCATGGGATTGGCAGTGCAGCTTGTGTGTAGCCCCCCTCCCCCTCAGGTGGGAGGTGCCCAAGGCAGGCCCAGCCACCGCTCTGCTCCAAGGATCCAGTGAAGGGTTCCTTTCATGTTCATGGTCTTCATCACAGAAAGGTGATGGAGCAGGAGTGGGGTCTGGCCAGGCATCACCCATGCTGCAGCCCTGTGCCTCAGGATGGATCTGGGAGCAGCCGTGCCCCCAGGAGCCCCTGATAGTGCAGCTCCATGGGGTGCCAGGAACCAGGAGAACAGCATGGCTGATTGCAAACCCTTGTTTATTGCAGGTGCCTCTTGCAAAGGGGTTGAGGGCAAATTCCTGGTCTGTTCTTTGTGCATCCGGCAGCTTGTACAAACCCCATTGCTCACGGAACGTGGGGTCTCTGCCGTGCTGCTGCCCCTAACCACTTACCGCAGCAGAGGAGGTGTGACTGGGCTGAGGTACGTTTATATGGCAGAGGGGATCACTGCAGGGTCAGGATCCCACAAACAGCTCGATTGGCATTTACAGCTATTTTATTCTCTCTGGCCCTGCACTGCTCCTAGCAGCCAAATGGAAATTTCTCTTCACTCCCATTTCTCAGCATGAAAAGCCTGCGAGCTGGCAGGCTGTAGGATTAGTTGTGTTACAATAGTGCCAAAGGGCCACAGTGGAGATCAGGGTCCTGGTGTGCCAGGAGCTATACAGACATCTGGTGGGAGACCAGCTCTGTTCCAAAATGCTTACAGGGCACATATAAACCAAATTTTCTCTGCACTCTTCTGTTTTAAGAAGGGGTCAGTCCCAGGACTGCACTTACTCCACTAACCCAGCAGCCTCCAGTCTATGCTATGGCCCCTGCAACATTGTCTGG